TGGTCACTGTCCCTCAGGCACAAAACTCAGCTTTCAGCTGTCTGTGCAACTCTTTGCAAGCTTGTCCACTTTACAGAGAGATGCCCCTCTGTTCTTTCACTCAGAAGCATATTTAACTCAAAAAATAGTCAAATCCATATGACTGTGGGGTATGATGGCCTTTAGATGTGAACTGCATAGAGAGAAAGATTAGCCAATGTAAGATTTCTGCATTTTCTGCAATGAAAACATGGGCAGCAGCACCCAGGAAAATGGTGGAAAGACTGTGATTTGACGAAGGTCAGATGTAAGGCAGCAACTGGACAAAGCAACAGTAAATTTGGGATCCCTCCCATACCTTTGAGCCTTGAATTACAGCCTACAGTATATATTTCCTTTGTTCATGAATGGAGATGGATAGGAACTAGTAGTTCTTAATTGCACAACATATTTTTAATTATAAAACCCATCTTTTCTACTTTGGCATTAAGATCAAGTTCAAATTTTCTGTGTACAGTTAACAGGAGGATGAGAAAAAGGAGGGAATTAATGTGAAATAAAAGTGCAATTCGCTCATCTCTCTTTTTGCACAAGTTTCATAAGTTCCCCTTATAGTAATTTCCTTTCTGGACCACTGACTATGTATTAATACAATCTGGAAAGTCTTCAGAAATGTAGCTATATAGAACTTCAGGGGTTTTTTGTCGCTTCCTGGGAAAAGAAAAAAAATTTAAATCATCATTTATTTGGACAATTGCCAAACTCTTTTACTTTGTCTGAAAAACAAATAATGAAAGAAAAAATAGGAATATATAATGTCTTTGCATTGTTCTCTCCAAATTTTTCTCTGAACTTGAATGAAAATCATAAAAGAAGAGAGAACATTGCCTTCTGCTTATCCAAGAGGCAAATGGAGCAGTTTATTTCGACAAGTGTCTGCAGCATTATCATTCACTCACCAGCAGCTGTCATTGTTATGGCACAGCATGTTGGAGGAGACTTCCTAAAAGCCAAATGAGTCAAATAAACAGCAAACAAGAGAGTCATCTTACAAAGAGCTACCCAAGGACAGAGAGAAATTTCTCAGCTACTGCTGAATGAGTGTTCAGCAGTTTCTGACAACTCCTTGTGGGTCAGCTGTATGGTGTCAGGGCAGGTTAATGCTGCACCAGTAATCCACCATCACTGGTGTAGCAACATGGGTGCAGCAGTTTGCTGCACTCCTGCATGTTCATGTTCCTGGATGTGTCCCAGAACTAAGCCTGCAAGTCAAGATTTAGACGTTGGGAAACAAGGTGAAAGGAACTGTGTGAAAGATTAGACTTGCAAATCTCAAAGTACAAGGTGTCAGTTTAGTCACGTCAAAACATCTGCTTAGAACAACTCACACAGTAACTGTAACATATTATAGAGAGGAATCATGAATATGCAATCAGAACAAAATAGTTTCAGAGCCTGATTGTCACCTCTGTCAATTCCAGCAGTCAATTTCTGTGATGTTGTCTTGTCATTTTGACAGTGATTATACTTTTGTGTGGTGTATTGCAGATACTACACTTCAGTTGTTTACAAATAAAGCAGTATCTTACACTTTCACTGTAAGAGTAGAACATTTTAAGTAAGAAAAATACTCCTCCTAATCAAACTCATCATGCATGAGATGCACTCAAGAAAATCATCCTCTGTCACAGCTGCATGATGTGACCAGCTCTAACAAAATCAAATCACGCTGGCAGTTTGCAGAAAGTATCTAAAACCAGTGTGAAGGATTTCTCAGCTAATAATGCTCATAACAGCACACTTTTCTCCAAGTAAACAAGTCATTTTTAAAGAAATCATTAACAATTTAAGATTTTAAAAGCAATTTATTTTAAATACAGCAAGTTATAAACATGTGTTACCTGCCTGAACAGTTTATAGAGCACCTGTATGCAATGTTCATATTTATAAACACATTTGTTCATGATGCTACACACTGACTATTCACTATTTGACAGTGATATAGAACAAGACAAGATATTTTAAAGACAGTTTAAGAAAACTGTAGAATCATAGCAAAAGAGGTATGCAGAAATCTTTATTCAATAACTACTTACAGGACATTCTATTTTTAGTAATAAACATGTCAGTGTATCCTCATCAGTCAGTTTGTTTGGCATGGAGATTAGAGTATATGAGGGATATATACCTCCATTGGCAATAATTATTACATAATAATAATTATTATTATTATTAAGCATAAATGTCCTCCCAAGTTCTAGTTATAAACGACTTCCAGAGATCACAATGTAGACTGTATAAGCTAATTTAAAGTAAATACAATGAAAGATTAGAAACGCCTTTATTATTTTTTTTTCTGCATTTGTTGTCTCTGTGATATGAAGTCAGGAATCTTTTACTGGTGATGACTTTAGACAGAGTTCCACGTAGATATCATATCAGATTTATTCCAGGTATCAAATTTTTAATCGGGGGTTTAGACATGGTTCTAGTAATGTTGTATCGGAGACAGTATGAGTAACTGTGTGATAAACACTGCCATGAGAAATGCACATAATTCTGGACCAGTTACATTTTCAGTGATAACTGTTAATGACCAAATATGACATCAGAACTCTGAGCAATTAGGGCTTTCATATAAGAATTCTGAATGAAACTATTTGACAATTAGGTGATAAAAAACATTTCAGAGCATTTGACCTTAGAATTTTTACATACTCTTCATTGGTACCCATAATCACAGCTGAGCAGCAGCTGTGAAAATAGGCAGGGAGGACAATAAACCCTGACTGAAATGCAAATTTTTTGAACCTACTGAGAATCTACACAGCCAGTAAAAGAAATCTGTCCATACAGAACCAACACTGAATGAATCACTTCTATGTTTGTTATCTCTACCAGTTTTTCCCATGTGGTGCAATTTGAATCACACTTTTAATTAATGATAGTCAGAACAAAGTACCTATTTCTAGACTTCTGAACACCAAGAGTTCACTCAACTCCTCTACACCCATTATGAGTAAAACACTTGCACCTAAAGGAACCTTCCAGTTTCCCAGAAAGTTTAATGCGGATGGTCTTATTCAGGTTTAGTCTAGGCACTTTTCTGCACATGGTAAAAGCAAAAACCACAAAACTTATCATCAGCAGTGGTAATGTTGCTATCAAAAGTACTCCCAAATATATGTGACAAATAGAAGGGGTTAAAAGCACAGTTATTTAGTAGCTAGCTGTAGTTATAATACACCAAAGGCACACATGTTGTTACTTCTAGCTCCTCTAATTAAAAAGAAAAAGTGTAGAATTACAGAATCACACTGAAGAGAGTCAAAGTTCAGCAACAATAGTGTGGTTGTCATGGATTTAACAAGGCACAGGTTTAACGAGAAATGTCAAGAGGAATTTGCTTACGAAGGCACTCTAATTCCTTGAATACTGGTTGTAAAGCACTGCATATTCTTTCAATGGAATATACCTCTTAAGTTACTTCAGATTTTGAAGTGTTTGTTTACCAAATGTCATTTCAGGTACCTTTGCATTTTATTTCAACAGTAGTGACAAATTGTTTCAGATAAATATTTCCTTCCAGTATTTTTTCCTGTCTGAGGGCTTATTACCACCATCTCTTGGGTCAGCTTGTATAGCTGCTTTTAGCTCCATATAGAGACTCTGCATAAAACATACAAAGTCTTTCTAGAGTAAATAAATTCTATAATGACTCAACACACATAAAAGACAGCTAAGATTCGACAGACTAATAATGCCCATTTACTCACCACCCCCAGAAGACCCCAAAAGGCTATTTGGTGAGCTGGGCAGGCATCAGACAGAGAATAGAATCTGAACCACCAACACCTTCACCAGTAATATCAAAAAAAAAAAAAAAGAAAGGAAATAGCCTATACAACTGACAGACAACACATTTCATACCAATGGAAGGAAATGCAATTTTTTAATGCACAATCACCTTGTGAAACTCATTGCCAAGAAATGTTCCTGAGGTCAGAAGCTTTACAGCACTCAAAGGCATAAATCTCTTTATGCTGTAGGAGCACTCAGGATCACTGTGAACAAGACAATGGAAGCAAACTGTCATCCTTTTGTCCACAATCAAATCAGGTTTGATGAACATTTTCTCTGGAGTTTAAAGTTTGTTTTTACATGCTTCTGGTGCAGCTGACAATGCCCAGTGTTAAGGAAACTTCACTGCCCAGCCATCTGGGAGCCTCTCTGGCAGTCACTCTTGCACCACCTGAGCTGGGACTGAGCCTCTTCCCAGTTACAGCCTCCACATTCCCACAGTCAGAACAGGTTTCCGTACTGGGTGGACCCCAGGTTTCCCATAGCAGTCTCAGGCGTCCCAACCATTAAAATAATTTCATCACAGCACAATAACAAACTAACAGCTCAAGCTGGTGTCTCTGAGGAGGGACCCTGAACAAAGGGACCCTGCCCTGGGCTTTCACCCCCTCAGCAGTCTAAGCATGGGAAGGTCTGGGATCGTCGGCTCCTGCCGTGTCCCAGTGTCCGGTCCCCTGGCTGGGCCACAGGTCCCGGGGCCCTTGTGTGCCCAGGGTCGGCTCTCCACGGCCTCTTTGCCTGGGCTGTCCCAGCCTGAGCTCAGCCTGCAGCTCCCACTGCACTGCACCCCGAGCTACCTCAGTGAACGTGTTCCTCAACACCAGCTACGGAAACATATTCCTGAGCTGGATGGATCACCACCACTGCCATCTGCACTCCTGTGGTCTGCAGCAGATAAGATGTTTTGCACAGAAAACCCTGATCTGAGACAACAGAAATGTATCTAGACCAAGTCTGAACTGATTCCCAACACATATCCAAACAGCTTTTCTTATGCAGTTTTAAATTTTTAATCTCAAAAGGATTTTAGCCTATTAGGCTGTAATCTCTATACTTTACCTACTTTAGAAGCAGGTAAAGTAGGAGTTCTAGTGATAATGACTAGATACTTGTTTGTTAAATGCTTTTCTAATAGACAAAATATATTAAGATTTTTCTAAAATTATTAAATGCAGTAATCAGAATATGAATTACTGAATATTAACTGAGCATACAACATCCATTACTGAATGAAAAAAACAAGCTATTGTTACTTCTGTTACTCTGGAAAATAGTCCCACTTTTTTCCTCAGTTTGCCTCAGACTTATCTTGGGGATAATCTTTCCTTAAGAAGATGCTTCACTGTTTTGGCATCAAATACCTACTCAAAAATGCACTTCACAAAATGAAGCATCTAGGTCCCATAATCATCTCAGGCAATTTTTTTAGCTCCAGAGACGTCAGTGGAAACATGCCAGATGATATACAGCATCTTGTTTCTGAATTTCTCTCCCACTCCATGCCTTCTTGACACGTGTTCAGGCAAGGAAAGACCATCAGTTCACCTAGTTTAACCTGCATTGTAATAGAAAGTTACAGCAGATTTACAGCACCTGCTCCACCTCCCACTCCCTTCTATAAATGCTACAATCTCATAGGCCAAACCAGTTAAAAAATCCAACTGAACAAAAAAATAGGGAAAAATGTAGATGGTGGGAGGGGTTATTATGAATGTGGCATCACCTGTAAGAAAAAGGAAGTTGCTGGTAAAGAATATAAAGCAGAAGGTGATAACTACAGCAAGTTCAAAGCAAAATAAAGCAAAAGAAGCAGAAGACAGAAGGAGAGATCTACTGGCAAGAGAAAAGGGGTTTCACACTTATATAGCAGTACTAATAAAATGTGTAAAAGTGCCTTTGGTGACTCATACCAAAGTATTTGTCTGTGCAGTCAAAGCAAAATGGTTCAAGCTGATCCTCAACAAATACAAAGCATAACAAAACACACCACAGAGATTTTCAGTGGGCTGAAATAGATGATAGATCAACAGGTGGTGCACGCCCAAGTAGCCAAGTGAAGAGGTCAGCTTTAAGCTTTTGTAAAGACTGATGCTTTAACCTGCTGTCAGCCAGGCTCAGTCCTTTTGCACAGACTTGCAGGTAATCCTGCGGTCCTCACTGAGGTCACAAGCGCTGCAGATGAGGGAAATGGCACAACAACAGTTCACCAGCACTGGGGGCCAAATGGTCACAGAAAATGCTTCTTAGCGGGGCATAGTTTGAAAAGTTAAACTTTAAATTTGTTTTGTGAATTTTTCACAAAACAAATTGCACAGAAATTCCTGGAGTCCATAGAAGTATTGGCCCTAAGGTTTGAGATAGGTGGAGGCAATCTGGAAAGCAGCAGGATGGAAGCTTCTGTCAGAATACAAGAGTCTGAGCTCTTTAGAGATAAGAGTAGCAACATTAGCTCTGGTGAACCCAGAACAAACTCTTCTGGTTCAGCCTCAAGTAAAACTGCTTTAAAAGTGAGTGGCAGGTGCATTTTAGGCCCTGCTGTACATCTCCAGGTGAAATAAGAAATGATGTTGCAGTTCACAAACATTCACAAACATTTATCTTGTTTACCCTCCAACAAAGTAATTGCTGCTTGATTATAACTACAAAAAGTTTTTGCCATCCAGTCATATATCAGAGGTGATCTTTTCCCCATGACACTCTCAGAGGACTGATGCTGCACATGTCACAAACCAAATCATAGTACACTAAGATGAAGTTCACATCCATCTGATCACAGGCTTTTAGCTGTTGCAAGCCTATCATATACGTCTAGCTTCCGAGGACTACATAGTTTTATTCTCACTTGCACAGAGCAGGCTCATACCGGGCAGATTGATCTAGAGATTATGAACACACCAGCTCCTCAACTGAAATCCAGGGAACTCCACAAATTTATTGTTAGCTGAAAGGCTGTACTTTTTTACTTGCCTTCATTTCACTGAAACAAGCAGAGCAAAGTGTTCCCCACACCTGATACATATACAGAGGTGCAAAGGCAAGTGTATGCGTACATTGAAACAACCTTAAATTAATCTAAGGTACCAAATAATACCCAAGGCTGACACCTAAGAAGTTATTGTCCTTTGTAATAGCAATAAATTTGGAAAATAAAAATAGTACTTGTTTAGAAAAAAAAAAAAAAAAAAGAGGTGTAAGGTCCTTCCACTGAAATCTTTTCACAATAGACCACTTTCTGTTAACTGTTTCAACTTTGAAAAACTTATGTGGATGGAAAAAAAGATGGGTATCTATATCTCATTGCTGGTTTTATACAGATGTTGGTATCACAGCAGTTTGTTCACACATTTAGTAAAGAAAGAAATATAAGAGCAGACATTTTTAAAACAGAATAAGCTGGAATATAAAATTACCTGGTTAATTGCAAAACAAATTCAAGTAACTAAAATAACATGACAGGAGCCACAACTGGGAACAATGGCCCTGGAGATGTTTTATTTTCCATTAAATACAGCTTTCTGGCTGAGACAATGGTGTCTGCATGCCAAAGCTGGGACAGTGACAGTGTAGTGCTGCTGGCATCTCCAATGTTGTTTCTTTCTATCACATTTCAGAAAGCCAGCACTGCTTGACTTAGCTGAAGAGAAGTGAGCAGGCAATGAAGTTTCACCCATGGACAAACATAAATGAGAGTTCAGGGATATAAGCATAGACTACACACCACATTATTGCTTGTGAGTGACAGAATTACAGAATATACTGAGTTGGAAAGGGCCCACAAGGATCACTGAGTCAAACTCCTAGGTGAACGGCCCATACAGGGATCAAATCCACATCCTTGACATTATTAGCAATATGCTTAATCAACTAAGTTAATCAGCCAAGCCCGACTTACACAAAGCAGCCATCTGAAAAGCCTACTGGAGACAGCAGCTACCAAAGCAAAGACTTGCAGGAGAGCACTTCAGCTAGTGAAAGAACATGGAGGAAAGATGCCAGCTTCATTAGTTCCTTTCTACACCAAAACCAGTGATATTTCCTAAAGCCTACATGCACAGATTTAGCACACTCATTATCTGGGGGCTGGAGGACACATTGTGTACATCCATTACACAATGTTTCAAAAATGTTCTGTTGGACAAATAAAAAACTCTTGTCCATCCAAGTGGATCACATAAAAGATAATATTAATGTTGATTGTCAAGTAAGGAAATGTAAAGAAGCATAAAACTCCCGCTAGTAATGGTCCTTTGTCATTGCTTGCCAGCAAAACATGTTCAAAATAACAGTACAGGAAAAAAAAGTAGTATATTGAATAAAAAATAAACCCACAATTACTAACATACACTTTTACCCCTAACTTTAAAAGCCTTAAAAAATCGTAGCATCTCACTAGTCCTCATACTTTAGGGAAGTTTGTCAAAATTCTTTGCATTTTGCAGAAACAATTCAGCAATTTTTCCAAACTCACATATGAATTTCAAGGGGAATTTAGAGAGAAAACCAATACTAATAAGAGACTGTCAGTCAGAGTTGTTAGGGAGTGATTAGGACCCTGGTTGTCTTATAGACCCCTGTGCAGCTGGAGTTATCCATAAGAGTCTCCTTAAGTAATTGATTATTCTGATTAAGGAATTCTACTGAAAAGGTTTGTTAACTGTTCCTAAAATTTTGAGACTCTCCAGTGAACATTTTCAGTGTTTCCAGATTTCTTAATGTGCAGTCTGACACACTTCAAAAATGCCTGACTTTCAATAAATATGCTAATAATTCACTTTTAATAAGTTTACCACTGCCAGTTATAAAAGGAAGTAACTAGACTTGTTTATTTCCTCTAGAAGTCTTGCTCTGCTCAAGGGCATTTGGTACATGCTATCTCCCTTTAAAATAAACAGAGAGATCCTCTATCTCTCAAGGTAATATGGGTTATGAAGTCAAATTTGAAGCACCCAACAGCACAAATGAAAGATTTCATAAACAATTAAGTTTCTTCTTTGGGTCATTAGCTGTGGTCTAAGCTTTCAAGACCAATGCAGGGTTTAACTGAAAAAAAAATGAGAGTGCTGGTAATGGCATTTTTTTGGTCTCGCCTTTATAAACTTGTACTGTTCAAACTGCCAAATTTTCCTTTCTCTCCTTTTCTCTGTCTGCCTCACAACACCAGCAAGAGAACATTTATTTTACTACTGGGCTTCTTTTTCCACTGGCCATCTGAGGACATGAAATGTCCTTTGAAATTATTTTCATGAAGCTCTGGGGGAGCAGTGCTGAAGTGTGCTAAATACCACAACTGCCTCCCATTCCCTACAAACCAACATAGCAGATTCTCTTTGAGGAAACAATATTCCTCCTTGCTGAGAGGCAGAACTGCAGATTTTGCTGCTTAAGGAGCTTTTGCACTCAATTCATAAAATACTTCATTGCACTGGAAAGCTGATGAACAGCTTGCCCATTCAAAAATACTATGACACACAGTCCAGTCCAGAGAAGATTAAAGAGCAGTTTTTCTTGAGATCAGCTCTTCCCTCTTACAAACAGAATGGAGAATATTTAGGAATAAGAGTGCCTGTACTTTTTAGTTACTTAATTTTCATTTATACATGAAACATTAAAGGTACAAGCTCTTAGGTATGGAGAGGCAATCTTAATCTAACAGGGATTGCTTGTATCTTTATAGTCAAAAAAGTAAGCTCTGGAATCACCAGAATAAACAAAAAACGTGGAACAAATTTACACAGCAGCTGCAGACCAGAGTGTGTATATGTCCTTGAGTCTTTTTTCATAACAATGCATAGAGAAATTGAGAAAAATGCTTAATTTTATCTTCTTAAAAAATTGTCTGTTAATTTTCATCTTCATAAAGTGAAACAAAAATGATTCTCAGTGATGGCATTTTTCTTTCAATTATCAAAGTTTTGCAAGGAGCACATGAGGAACAAAGAAATGAAGCCCCCATCACTCGGTATCTGAGAATGTCACAATGAAGCTACGATTAAAGGATGAAAATCATACAAATTGGTTTGTGGTAGACAAAAATAGATGCAAGGCAACAAAATATGGAAAACCGTTTTCCAAGAAAACTGAGACCAATTCAAATTTCAGAAATGGCAGCAGTTTTATTTAAACAGATGAAAAAGCCTTAAAATAATCTGAATTGACATTCACATAGGTTATCCCACCACTCTTTCACCTGGCTTTGGCTTATTCTGGTGTCCCTTCACGCCATTTATAATAAGAAAAATTAAATTAATATGCTTTGGGTTAATAGAAATTCAGAATTATACATATTCTTGAGCAATAACTGAGTTACTCTGTCTGTCAGGAGATACTCAGAGAGCTGCAATTGTTCTGGACACCTCGAGGGAGGGTGAGTGTGACGGGAGGATTACACATGTATATATAAACCAGATGGGAGTAAAGATGATGGAGGAAGATTTTTCTTAAGAATGCTGAGGGAGCGGGTAAACAGCAAATAGCACAAATATAATCACAATGAATACCACTTAAACATTTTAAAAATCCCACACTTTTGCTGGGATCAAACAGTTGAGCAGGTTGCTCAGAGGGGTTCTGGAGACTTTATTCCTGAAGATATGCAAATCCTGACTGGTTGTGGTCCTGGGCAACCTACTCTAAGAGACCCTGCTTTGATGTTAGATGATCTCAGAGGTACCAATTACAGAAATGTGGTAGCTCTGTAAATGAACAACCTTTGATAAAAACAACAGAGATTAGGAAAACAAAACAAAAGAAAACAAATCACAGAAGTGAAATATGTATTCTAAGACTAAATTTCATTTAAGGCAGAAAATGTTATTCTAAATTCCTATTCCTAATCTAGATTCCTATTCTGTCTTGTTTTATCTACATATGTGGTAGTGCTCATTGTAGGAAGAATATATGTGGTGGGGGAAAGACTACTTAAATGTGAGAAACGTAGTAGGGAAGAAGGAAACAGGAGATTTTACGGAAGCTATTTAGTAAATGTGAGGCAACAGAAGCTCTCCTGAGCTCTGAACACTGCTTGACACAATGCAGGGCCACAGAGCTCTGTGAACATTTGTGTCTTTCTATAAACAATATCTTGCCTTGGAAGGGAAACTTTGCTGTTTATCTATAGCTGTATCATTTGAAAATCTAATAAATAGAACTGTGAGGATAGTATCAATAGAATGTGGATAAAAGACATGACAGAGGATGCACGGTGGATCAGTTCTACAAGCCTGCCTGACAAAATACTATGGGAATTGTATAAACTTCAGGTGTCAAAAACAGTCCTTATGGGTATCCAAAGCCTGTAACTACTCACACAGGGAGCTAGTTAGATTTTCAATTTTGTAAAAAGGTTTTGCTCTACTGATGTGAGGTAAACAGCAGGCCTGTTGAGGTCTAGTGCACCCTCTGGTCTTTGTCAGCTTGCAGATCACATTGCTTGCCCCATTGTGAAGCTCAGCTAATACCAAAATAATTATATAGCACCATTTCCACTGATTTCAGAAATCTAAGCAACAGGCCTGAAGAGCCACTCCCTTTCTACTAAACATTTCTACTAAACATAAATTAAATGATTCAAATGTTTTTCAACCAAATACTTTAACATTAATTTCTTTAGAAACCCACCACCACTGAAGATGGGATGCCATTGCCTATAGTTCATTATTTCCTAGGAACTTAGTGAAACTCACATGAGTATTTAAATTAATATACTTACTTCATCTGTTTCCTTGGATTGCTTTATTCATGAACTGTGTTTTTTCTCTTGTTCTTCTATGAAACTGACTGCACTATTGCTAGGGGAAATAATTTTACCATGTATATTAATTTTATTAAACTGAATCTCATTGTTTCTGCTGCCCATCATTTCAAGCAGTTTCTCTTTGAGACAAACTATAAGGAAACCTTTCTGGGTCAGATCCTGGTGAATCTGTCTCAGATTGATGTGTCTCAGTACTCTCTGACTTTGGCTAACTATCATGGTTCAGTTCATCCTTCAGTTTCATCCTTCAATTCCACATCACCAAAAGGGTGGGGACAATATGTCTTTTCTGCTGGCCTTGACTCTTGCCTGTGAAGAGGACAAGACCTCTGCAAAAAGCACCATCTCTCTTGGCAAGCACCACAACATGGCCTGTAAGGTCTTGAACAAATTGACTGAGAGGTCATACTGCAGCTGTTTTACTCAGTACAGAGAGATGGCCAGTGTTCAACCAAGACAAAGAAGGTCCCTGGAAACCTTTGTCCTGAGTTTTGAATCTTACAGCAGTGCTGAACAGCGTGATCTGTACACTCACCTATGCAGGCTGAACTGGTTCAGTGAGGAGATATTTTCACAAATTTTAATCGATGTCCAGCCTCTGAAAGACTCATCCACAGCAGTGACCTCTCTGGCATGAGTAGGCATTTTCACAGTGTTGTGTTGTTGTGGTTGCCTTGTCCAGTCCTTGTGTTTGTTCTTTGCAAAAACAGGAAATAACCAAGGGAATTCTAAGTCTTTGTTTGTGATATGATTATTTGGCTAGAAAATTTGTCTCTGTGTATGTATACATGAACAACAACAATATTAATACACTCATGACAATTTTTTTAATTGCATTGATTTTAAAAGATAGCTACATTATATGGGGTATGCAGTTCCTGTCCCTTCCTTACACAAAAAATAATCAATGATCTTTCTTCTTTAATTTTGAAAAACACAAAAATTTTTGCTTGCTTTGGCAATGTTCTGGAAGGTAATCATGTACAGAAGTCTAGCATAACTTCTTCAATATGCCAAGCCCTAAAGGTGAAAGCTTTCCACACCCACACTGCATTGCTGTCTGGCTGGCACATGTGAAAGGCAAGCACTTCAGGAGAGGAGTTAGGTGACCGTGCACCCCAGGAACACTTCTCCAGAACACTTATATCAGCTGCAGAATACTGGCAGGTCTTTTCTTTGTTCAGCCAGCAGGGATGAGCATTTGGAGAACCTTTTGGCCCCATCAGAACCTAGTGATATTCTGATAATCTGCATTTTAGCCACCCTCTGACCTGGAAATCTTGCCCACATCTTTGAAAATTCAAAATTTCAGTGAAATGGAATAAAAGCTCTATTACCCCAGGAACTTATGTACTAACCTGGAAAACTGACTAAGAATGAAAGGAGAGAGAGAAAGAGGGGTGCTGAAACTGACACCACAGAGTGCTAATAGAGTACCAGACAGGGCAGGGGGTGATTAGAAGTACAGTGGGAAGAAGAAATGACACAGTCATGAAGAAGTCAAATTAAAGTAATTAAATGGGAACTAATGAGATTAGCCAAAACTCTAATGATACAGTCAGAAGGATGAGAAATCAGATGGCATTCACCTCCTGTGAGAAAGAAAAATGTGCTTGTGCAGAAAGCCAAGAAAAAGAAATACAAGGGCATGGATGGAAAGTCCTCTGAGTACAGTAAGGTAAATAATAGTCCTTCTGAAAGCATTTGATTAGAACAAGAGGTAGCTACGATTCAAGATGAGGAGGGATCAAGGCTGAACAAGGTCATAGGTCTGAATGACAATGGCCTATGCTGCTGACAGTGATGGCTTGAGATATTGTGGTGGTGCATTCCCCCTTAACACCTTTCCAGGCTGCAGTGTTTGACAAAATGCTTGTTAGGCCTCGTCCTTGAAAATGCCATGAAGACCTGGGCTCAGGTCTTTCTGAGCTTATCAAAAAACACTGTCTCCTCCCAGAAACTCCTCACATGCTTCTGTTTTTCCCATGACCAGCCTTGGAAAATATTTATCTGGCCTGAATGGCACAACATTCCTGTTCTCACACTTTCAAAGAAAGTGCCAACCCAAACCATGGCCAGGATGAAACACTGTAATGACTGAAGTTCACTCTCATGAGACCCTATAACAGCGGTCCAGAGTGGGACCCATCTGGAGATGCAAAAGCATCTGAAGTATATTCACTGACCTCTGAGGGGAATTTTTCCACAGGTACCTTATCTTGCACTAGGTCTGCACACATACTCTTTGCACATATGTCTGGAAGTTAGGTTAAGTTATAGTTATAATTCAGGATAAATGCTGTTAAGTGTTACTTCTCTGTTAGATTGTTAAATTTAAGCTATAAACAAAGGCATAAGTTAGGTTAAAGTACTGTTAAGTTTAAGTGTTGTAAAGCTTTAGGCTGCATTCTTTTTCATTCTTGTTTACATTGTCTTTACACACAGACACACACATAGACTTAGGTATTTTCAATTAATTTCTGTTTTAATAGCCTGGATTTTGTTTGGTTTTGTTGTTGCTTGCTTCCCCCCTTGTTGTGCCTCAGATGTCCTTTGTAAGTAGAGTGAGTCTTGACAATCAATTTGTTGTGCTTTGTAGTTTAATATTAAATTGGACTTCTGCTCATACACTTGCAGGTGATTTTTTGAGCCATCTCAAACACTCTTGTTCAGGACATATATAAAGGTGAGTTTAGAACAGAATGGTTTCAAAAAGGATTGGTTTTAACAATGCCAAATGAGTCAAAATTAGCAAGGGATGGCAGTGGAGTCGGTTGGAGTCCACTCATGGTTGCAGACATGGTAGCAGAACTTTTAAAGGGCCATTGATGCCTCAGTGTCATCACTGAGGATGATGACATAGGAGGAGTGAGGAGTGAGAACTGATACCAAAATCACACCTCTGCCCAGAGACCTCTCCAGGATGTAAAAAAAGAAGGAAAAGAAAAATATCAGATCTCTATGGAAAATCAGACAGAACACAAATACCTAATAAAAAATATACCAAAGGCTGGGCATTTTCATTTCTTGGAAGAGACACCAGGTTTTCTTCCTCTTATGGGGTGAATATTTGGCAGGCTGCACTATCTTGCTTAGGAGTAGTAATTACCAATAAAGTAATTTGAGTAAGTAAATGAAATATTCACATTCCTAGTTTGTTTTCAGGCAATAAGTTCCTTATCAATATTTACTTCCTTAGTATTCACAACCACTTGCAGTAATTTGCAGTTCCCCCAGGTAAACAAAATACAATAGAAAATATTATTCTAACAATTTTTAACTACTGTGTAACTTATTCCCCTCTTTCAGAATTCATTTGCTATATTTTAATTATATTCCACTACTAAAATGTGTTTCAAAGCACTTCATACAAAAGCTAAACAAAACAACATCCTAAACTTGTGCCATTTATTGTGACAATCTGTCAACTTGTTGTGACAGGCGTAACAGATTGGTAGCAAAATCTGAGCAGCAAAGGCTGGCTGACTGACTTTTGTTTTAATAGCTGATACTCTTGCTTGGCTACAGTTTTAAGAGTTATCAGAACTAGAAAGACCATTTTCAAAATAATTAAAAACTCCTTAAAGCTGCAATGTAAGTAGTGTTGCAGTCTTGGGGAAGAGACAAACCATAGCTTTATCATCCACACAAGGCTGTAGAGGAGACATGAACTTACTTGCTTGCATGCAGGAAACCTGGGGCGCAGATTTCTACCTGATTCAGTACAGGTTGTTTGATAGTTTGAGTCAGGGCTGGGCTGAAGATGATGACACTGAGTCACTGTTAAAAATCAGTTTCCCATCTTCTCCTTCTGAAGGCAGTCTGTCAGGGCTTGGCCAAGAAATCAGATCACTGTTCTCATTTCCTGTGCTGTGAGGTGTGGCTTTGGAGTCATAGAGTCATACAATACCAGGAATTAGAAGGGATACAGCAGGATCATCAAGTCCAACTTCTGACCCTGCACAGGACACCCCAAGAGTCACAGCATGTCACAGCACGAGTCACAGCTGAACAGTCCAGCCACTCCCAGAGGAGGCGTGGATAGGCTGGGAAAAAAAAAAAAAAAAAAAAAAAAAACACTATAAAATACATATTCCTTTGGCAAGAAGAGGCACTTTAGCTATCACTGCACAGCTGAAGCACTCAGACAGACATAGGCCCTGCAAAAAATCATATTTTGCTCAAATGTATGGAAACCATGAACCTGGAAACTTCTTGCTGGGAAACAGAATTGCTAGTAAGAAGTTTCTGGAAACAAAACTGTCAGACAGCCCCTGGCTGGCTCTGCTCATGACTTCAGCACCATCAAAGGCCAAAGAAATTAGTCCATAACCATGAAGACCTTAGCCAAAACTCAAAATACCTCTAAAAAGGTCTGGAAATGAGCAAACCAATACAGTCAAAAGCATACAAAGTGTATTTGAAAGACATTAACAATATCCCAGACAACAAATTTTCCAGAATTCACTAGCCACACCCCAATAATAACCAGAGACTGAAGCAAGGAGATCAAAACAGTACCGGAGGCAAAACTCATAGATCTGGTTTTTGTTTTCCTGAAAAAAAGCAGCCAAATAGATTAAAGATTGGTGCAGTTCATAACAAAAAGCCATTATTATAAATTGCAAGTGCACAATACCTCTTAAAATGCCATTGTCCAGTAAACATTGTATTTATACATTGTGACAATCATTTAATGAGATGGCAACCTGATGAAGATGGATCAATTAGTCATGCAGAGGCTATGCTGCAACCAGGGACCATGAGAAGACTTAAGAACTGGAGATAGAAATAAAAGCTGCATATAAAGATAGTTAAGCAATCATATCTGTTTTCATCCAGTAGCAGGAAGTATGAGGATAGAGGAGACATTTTTATCTTGTGCTGTGCAAACTTCACACAAGGTACTTCAAGAAAAGAGAATGACTTCCAAAAATGCTGTGAAATCCCACAATTCAAGAAAATGCCTTTCAAGTATCCTATTCTAAGCTTAAACTTAAAATAAATACAACAGCAAGAAGTCATGAAATGCTATGAAAAGATGCAACTGAAGGGTTCAGGGTTCTCTGCATGATGGGGTTTTATTGTTTGGGGGTTTTTTGTTTTGTTTTCTGGACCCCAAAGCCAGGCAAAAGCCTAGCTTAGACAGACAAAGTGAAAGGGAAAATAACTGTCTTACTAATGTACTTTCCACACTCAGTAGAGAACACCACAAGTCGTTGGGTGCTCTTCTGTTGTGTTGGTACTTCTAATGGTGCACAGGGTACCACTGGCTCTTATACCCATGCCCCAGGAAGGGAGACAGCACCCTCAGTACTTCCATCTTGCACAAAGCTTTTCTTAGGTCACAGCAACAGCTGTCATTAAACTTTTGAGTTTTTCTCACTAACATGACAGGGAATCTGGAGTCAAGTGCCCAGAAGAGGAAAATTAGAAAAATAAGGCATTTTTTGAGATCTCTAAAATGTACTAAAATTAAACAAATATTCCTAACATTCCTATAAGATGTTTTAATTCAGAAGGAGTGGCTTATCTAGAATTGCCTCCACTCTAACTCATGTCTTAGGAAAACACTGCCTTTGACTTTAAAAGAATTACCTGAAAGACCTTTAGAATGTTTTTCATTTTTATTCCCATGTATTAAGCCACTCACAAACTCTGTATCAATAAAAACGCCATTCTACAAGATAGTTCACAAAGTCAGTAGAAATAAAATAATTCACTAGTAAATCTGATAGACTCCATCAGAAAGTCTTCAAGTCTATCTCACTGTGTCTGATAAAACTTTGTACATGCAAATGCTCACTTATAAACCATTCACTAAAAATTCACAGAAGCAGTTGTTTCACAAAAAAAAATTATGAGATTCAGCTCAAAAGTTATACTGCTGCTCAAATGTCCTGTTATCATTATGAAGTTTTCTGATTCTGTTCTATATGCTACATTTTCCACTGGAGACTTACCCTGGAGCCATAAAAGCTGCAAGGCTGCCAAAGGAATTTCCACTTCAGCAGGTCTTCAGAGGAAACCTAAATGTAGTTTATACACATAGTAATGTATAGAGTCAGAATCAGATAGAAGACGTTGGGCAAATTTTGTCCATGCTTTCTTATTTTCATCTCTAGAAGATATGAAGCTGTGGGGTTCAACTCAAGGCATGAATGCTAGTACTGTGTTTTCAGAAGACAAATGGCTGAAAAATTACTTACTCTATCCTGATTTGTCTCTCTTCTCCTGAAAAAAAGCTAGTTTCTTCAGCTCTACAATATTTCCAGTGTGTATAGATATATGAAAATAGCATATTTCTTGAGAAATTCTATTAATCAGAGATCCAATTTGGATTATAAATAAAGTTGTCTTTAGAAAAAAGACTGGAAATTCGATTTTTTTAGTCCCCTACAAAAAACAGCTTGTGCAAAGCAAATGCCCACAGATATTAGCAAAGTTTAATCTCGAAAGATATCACTTTGGATTCTATTATGAAAAAGAAAATATAACCAGTTTGGTAATTTTTACTCTGCTTATTCTCAACTTCACTCTGCATCTTCAGTTTCATAGAATGGTTTGTCCTTGAACATCATCTACTTCCAATGCCCCTGCAATGGGCAGGGATGGCATTCACTAGATCAGGTTGTTCAGGGCCCCATCTAACCTGGCCTTAACCACTTTCCGGGATGCTGTATCCACAGATTCTTTGGGCAACCTGTTACAGGGCCTCACCATCCTCTGAGTAAAGAATTTCTTCCTAATATCTAAATTAAACAGCCCTCTCTCAGTTAAAACCATTGCCCCTTGTCCTGTTATTATCCGCCCATATAACAAGTTCCTCTCCCTCCTTTTATGCACATAGAGAATTTGACAGTTACAGAGCAATTAAGCTGGACTTCTTATACATCTGTGTACTTAAATATAAATAAAAGGAAAACAAACTGCCGGAGAAGATGGAGCAAAAGTACATTCAGAAGTGAATAAGCCATAGCATGGACAAATTTAAGTTAATGTAAGAAAGACCATGGAAAAACAGGGAAGAAAAACTGTGCAGGAAACTTCACCATTGCAGAGACATTTACTTCCCTGCCCTTTTTAGTCAACCTGAAACCATGGCAGGGCTGACACAAAGCTGTTCTTCTGACAATTTTCTAGATTCTCCTGTTAGATCACTGTTAAGTGGTACTGGCAATGTAATATTTCAGGACCTGAAAGCAGAGCAGCATGCAACCAGACTCAAGGCATGCAGCAAAAAGCTAAGGTAACTGGAAGCTGAACCAGTTTCCACCTCCACCAAATACTGGCAAGTGCCAAGAGCTGGCTGCTTGGCTGAGGAGCTGGGAGTCTGGGCACAAGAACAAACCAGTGGGGCTGAGCTGATGCACAGCCCCCAAGTGATGGGGAGCTCCTGGCACCCCAACACCACAACCCCAGGTTAATGGCTGCACTATGTCAGAGCTGGACATCAGTGTAGGCAGACAAGAACTGGGGAGAAGGCTGGATTGCAATGTCCTAAGGGCTCTGACATTAACTTCACAAGATTCATACTCTGCCCATATTGCCCTATCTGATCAAATATCTGAGATGTTTGGGGAACCTGCAAAACAAATGGAAAACATACTAAAAGGAGGAAAGGATTAATAAAGAGGAGAAGAAAGAGCAGAGGAAAAATGCCAGCTCTGTGGCTCTTAGCCATTTTGTAGAGATGCAGCTAACCATTGATAAAATTTATTATTTTTTTGAGCTTCAGTTATGATGGAACTGGAAGTGATCATGATGCTCTCTAATTGGTGACAACAAGGCATTCTTATAAGAAACTATCTCTGGCAGAGTATGTTGTAGTTACAACACAGATAATATGCTGCATACTATTTCAGCACATCTGCTCAGTGCTGTGTAGAAGATGAGATCATTATTCACCTGTTTGACCTGTGGGATATGGTAGGGGTATTTTGTGACAGCAACTTGTTCTTTGGCCACAATCTTCATTGTGGTCCTGGCTGTTTCCTGCACAAGGCTGTTTTCTGACTGTTCACTGTCTTCCATCACTGCTCTGTAGCAATCAATAGGTCTCTGCAAAAAGACAGCAATAGTGCAATTAACTTCTGACAATTCTGACATGTTAAAACAAGGATTATTAATGTTCCCAAGGATGATCACTCTAACCTAGCCGTGTAAATCTGGCAGTAAATAGCATACCTCACATAAAGTAATATAAAATTTGGAATAAAATAAAATAAATTGGTGGTATTTAATCATACTTTGGAATGCTGAAATTCTTGCATTAATTTTAAAGTGGGCAACGGCATCTAGTATGTAATGATGATAGTGTAACAAATCTCCCTCTGAAACTGAGATTCCTGCGCAAAAGGCTGTACCATTAAACAACATGAAGTTCTGTTTCATAGCTGAACTCTTTAGTTCACATTTTATTTTTTTTTCTTTTTTTTTTTTTAACCTGGGACTATTTAAGCCAATTGTTTACTATGACCTAATTCATAGCAAAAGTCAAAGAGTCCTACTGAGTTATCTCTGCATCAGCTTGCCGTGGAAAATGTAGACATTTCCTTTTTCCTTCTTGAAAAAAAATGAACAGCATAAAGGAATTGATAAAATCTGTTTCCACTCACTAATGCCTCAGCCTAAAATTACAGTTTCTTCTGCAATGATCCTGGTGATGTGGTTTGGAGCATAGGTGGTTGCCATGAAGAAACATCTATAGCTACAGGTAAAGCAGTAGAGATTGCCTCTGCAGGTTACCTGAACACAGCTCAATCACTATCTTGTGATGGTCCTCTGTGTTTAATCATCTGTGTGATTCCTGCAGAGTTTTACCTGTAGCAATTGAAGCAGGAGTTCAGGAAATTAAACATTACAACGGAAGACTACATGAGAAAAAGAGCAAAAAAAGATTAACAGTTCCATACAAGCTACATAATGACCATGTATCTCAAAATTCCGCAGGATGTTGCCTGGTCTGTGCAAGAAAATGACAAATGAATGCTATTTAACATTTTGCTTGAACAGTTTTCCCATTCAGAAAACTATCTGAAATACAATAATGAGAAAAGCAGAACTGTGAAGCATTTTATAAGGCTGATTACCTTTCTAGGACATATAATCTGATACATGCTTTGTCTATCCAGAATAAATTCAGTAGTTGAAAAGATTAATTGAACCTATTTTATGCTACTTGTACATGCTCTCACAGAGAAAGTAACTTACTTTTTTTTTTTTCTTATTGACTCTTGCACAAGAGCCTGCAATACACCACCAAGAGTAAAATGACTTTTCTAAATTTATTAGTTCATAAATCTTACAAAACACCAATCCATCCAGTGGTTTGTTGTTTGGGGCTTTTTCCTTCTTTTGTATATCCAAATTAAATAGGAATGCATGCAGGAGATGCACAGTATTTGCTTTTGCTATTCTCCTCTCCAAGGGTACAAGAGGCATCTGTCAGCTTACTCGTGCTCTACCCTCTAGTCTCACTCCCTCTCTCCCCATAAACATAATGCATGTAGGTGAGCATACACATACATATGCATGTATGTACATTCATTTTTGACTCTTCAGCTAATGGACAAGAAACTGCTATGACTTCAAGGCACTCTGTTTTGGAGGAGCTGTGTGACCTGGCTCATGTAATTTGCTGAGGATTAAATTTACCATCCCAGCTACACACACGAGGTGAATGATCTTTAAAAAAGTTATGCTCTGCATGTCTTTTCCCCTATGCACTTGATGTTCATCTCAATGCCTTGGACAGAAGCTTGTCACTTGGCTGTGACTCGTTCTGCGCATAACACACTGGATGGATATGTGATCTCTAATGGCTACAGGTTTTCAAGAGATAAATGGTATTTTTGCCACACACGATGTTTCATATGTTATCCATCAGGACTAAAGACTAACTTGGATGTGTAGTTGATCATTCCACACCATGAGCAAAAAATTCTTCAGGACTCAGCATTCCAAAATATCCTGAGGGGACTTTTCCTCAGCCCTTGCTAATAACAAAAGCTTGCTTCAGTTAATTTAGCTCCTGTTTTGGAGACCACTGACAACATACCTAGATGAGCAGGTTGCCTAGCTAGGCTTGGGATGTTTCCAGGTCTTCTGTCACTCCATGCCAAAGGCCATGAAATATAAATACAAATTTTATATTTATAGAAATATAAAACAACTATCTGCTGAATTGCAGATAGTTCCAGCTTACTGGAAACTGACACTTGAAACTTCTTAAAATTGAGTCACTGAGCATCTGTGGCAGTGCTGATGATTCATCTACCAGTAAAATGTTCAAGAGATATGCATGACAGCAGCAGCAGCATTTTCTGCAGCCACCTTTTGGATTCTGGTCCAGTTTGGAGACAGAAACGTGCTTCATCCCTGCAGTTTCCCTTCAATGTGATGAACCTTAGAATCTCATTTGAAGCACAGCAGGTGGGTACCAAAGGAGTAGGCCCATGCAGAGCACCCTGGGTTATTATGTATTTCTGACAGGATGAACTGTAAACAAGATCCCAGGCCTACACAAGTAAGTTCTGCATGCATGTACAGCAAGATAACTCTGCTGGGTTTATTTTAACTCTGCTCTCATGTCTCTCCTGAGATTTCAAGTTACCTCAGAGTGAGAGACTGGAGAAATCATTACTTGCTCAAAACAACCAAAGTGTGTGGCAGGGTGGCAGGGTGGCAAGGCAAGCTCTGCAGAAAGTGGGATGATGCACTTCTCCATATCCCACCTCCCTGGAGCCTCCAGTCCAGCTCCAGAATGGTTATCAGCCATTGGCACAGCAGAAGCCCCATGTGGAGGGGAGGGTTCCAGGAGGCCAAAGCAGATAAAAGCAGTTGCACAAACACCCTCTCTCTAACTTTTTGAAATCTGGGTAACTTAAAGATGGATGGGTTAGAGTTTGGTAAGTCAATGCCTTGTGAAATGCTTTATGTCTATTGTTTTAAAATTTGCCAGGTACCTTTATTTTCTAAAGTCTGCCTGTAAAATTTTGTTTAACCTCCTGAGAACACTGTGTTTCTCCCACATGTTAGTCTCAGGGAATAAAAAACCTTAACCTGAAAGAAACACATCAAAAGAGTCCAGGGCCTTACATACCAGGTCTGGTAGGTAAGACATCTTCTTCTCAAAAGGCACATGGAAAATAGGCAGAATATCCAGGGAAAGTCAAATAGCCCTGGATAAGGTTATGTGCGTTGCTAAATCCAACACAACTGCTGGCTGAAGTCTTGTCTAAGCCTACAAAATTATGCCAGGGAACTCTAGAAGAGGATTGATAAATCTCATTTCCTACCTTGAGCTGACTAATGCATCTCAGTCCTTGTCCTGGTTTTGGCTGGAATTTGAGTAGATATTTTTTAGAAGCAGGTACAGCACTGTGTTTCAGATTCAGTATGTGAATGATGCTGATAACATACCAATGGTTTGGTTGCTGCTAAGAGTGCTTACTCTGAGCCAGGGACTCTTCAGTGGCTCATGCTCTGTCAGTGACGAAGCGCACAAAAATATGGAGAGGAGCACAGCCAAAACAGGGGACCTGAACTGATCAAATGGATGTTCCACAAAATAGAACGTCACACTCAGTATATAAACTGGAGGAGTCACCCAGAAGAGGGCCTATCTGGGTTTGGAATTGGCCAGCAGGTGGTGAGCAATTGTATTGTACATTACTTACTTTTCTTTGGTTCTCTCTCTCTCTCTCTTTTATTACTATTACTAATATTACTATTATATTTTACTCCAGTTCAATTATTAAACTGTTAACCAAAAAGTGTCACTTTTCTTTTCCCCCCCCCCAGTTCTCCTCCCCATCCCACTGGGGTAGGGTGCTGTTGAGTAAGCAGCTGCACGGTAGTTAGTTGCCAGCTGGGGCTAAGCCCCTATGCTTTCTCTATGCACGTACAATTCTTAGTAGCAGCTGACACTAAGTCACACTGCTTACTCACACTATGCAGGTAGGTGCAGTGGGAGTGATGAGCTGGTTTACACAAAGCAGCACTGGAAAGCAATGGCTGCCTGTAGCACACTTGTTTTCCACAGTTGTGCTCACTGCCCTAGACACCCTTCACACTTTAATGAAAATTTCCTAGTAATGAGTGTCATGAAAAACAACCAAATGAGGTTTCCCATACTGTAAATGTCTTTATGTATTGAGAATATTTTCTGACAGCTTGCTCCTTTCCAGTGTTTGCAGCAGATCCCATGCAACATGCAGCTCCTGAGACCTCAAGAGCATATTCCCAAGGGACTCCTGGGTAGTGCAATGTTTGCTCTCTCAAAATAGAGAAGCAACTTTGCAGCTCTTTTCTCCTCATTGCGCTGACATTTTTAAGCTGAACCGTTTCCTGATCACTGTGGCCAAGACCATGCCATCTCCCACCAGGCCTTCTCCATTCCAAACCAGCAAGTCCAAGGCATCTTTCCTAGTTGCCTCTCTGGGTACTTGTAATACAAAGTTCTCTCCCACAAACTGTAGGAATTTTTCAAATCTGCTCACCACAGCAGGAGGCATTTCCAGCTGGTCTCTAGAAAGTTGAAATCTGCCACAAGGACAAAGGCTGCTGATCCAGAGATTTCTCCTAATTGCCTATTAAATTAACTTCTCTGGGACTGGAATCCTGGCTGGGCAACTGATAGAAGACACCTGCCTTTTCTTCCATCCCTTCATCTTCACCCAGACTCCCAACCACATCATCACCAACTGTAAGGGCTGTATCAAACTTCTCCCTTCTATTTACTGCAACAGCTCCACCTTGCCCTGCCCTCTCCTCAATATCCTGCACCCTCCATCCCAGTACTCTGGGTATAGAAGTCCCACTTATGCCAAGGATATCCCAGCTCGGGATGGGATCCCAGAATGGACCAAGGGTTCCAGTAAAGGGCACTTGCAGCAAAAATCCCTGAGCCATCTGCCAGGGACACCTGAGACCCTGAGCTCCTGCCCTCCAGGCAAATTTGGAGAGGCTGTCGAGGCTAAACAGAACAAAGGGAGCCACCACATTCATTCCCAGGAGATGCCAGAGAGCTCTTAGCAGCCAATAACAAGAACGGAGCACGGCAAGCTCACGACAGTTCACACTATGTGGCCCCTGGGCCTCCCAGTGCCCTGGCTCCTTCAGACATTTGTGCTCCCTGAAACCTAACCCAAGGTAGGGACCAACCTGACCCCTGCAGCCCAGAGATACTCGCAGGGGCAAGAATGGAGGTGACTGACTGTGGAGGGGACTTCTGATTGTCTCTCAGGCTCAGCCAACCTGCACCGGCTGGTTGGGCAGGAGCAGCCCTTCTCCACAGCCTGGGCACTTCCAGGTGATGAAGACCATGGTGAGACAAGCTGCCCCCTTCAGCCCCTGGATAACCACAGTGGAGCATAAACCCACCTGCAGGCTGTGGAAAACCCCCACTGTGGAGCAGGTAGAGATGCCCTGATGGAAGCTGCAGCCCATGGAGATCTCACACAGGAACAGGCTCCTGTCAGGAGCTGAAGCCTGTGCTTAGGAGCACATACAGGAGCAGGTTTCCTGGCAGCTGGAGCAATCTGTTTCAGAAGCACTGCACACCTGTAGAAAGGGCCCATGTTAGAGCAGAGTAAGAAGCAGCAAGAATGTGATGGACTGAACACAATACCCATTCCCCATCCTTCTGCACAGCTGGGGAGGAGGAGGTAGAAGAGTCTATATGAAAGAGTGAAGTTGAGAAGGGAAGGGAAATTTGTTTGTTTTGCCTTTGTTTCTTATCCCTCCACTCAATTTTTCATTGGCAACAGAATATATTAATTGTATCCAACTCTATCTGGCTAGTGACAGTACACTACCTTGTTCTTGCCCCAACCCAGCTTTCCCATCTTACCTTCTCCCCCATCCTGCGAAGACAGGAAAGTCTGTCTCTTTCAAGAAAGGAAAGTGACAGAGCAGCAACTTCACTACCTGGCAAGCAACCAGCCAAGGTCAAACCTACAAAACTCATGGAGATAATGCAGGAGGGAAGGTATCCTCCTCATTCAGCCCTCAGAGCTACTGCTGTGCACACAGAAAACGGCCAAACCAGGAAAACAAAACTCTGCCAGAGCCCTGTGTATTGCACATACCTGGAGCAGGACATCTAGGATGTGCTGAGCTGGGTGAATACTGGTTATTTCAAGGAAGTCAGGAGGAAGAGTTTTATTGCCAAGGCTAGACAAGACAGATGTTTTTCAAGTATGCAGCCACAGGACATAAAGAAGAGGAAAAGACTTCTTGAAGGCTGCACAGCTATAGAACGCAAGGCAGAATGCACAGGCTCCAGTAAGGGAAATAAAAAAAAAAAAATCTGAAAAAAAAATGTTTCCCAAGGGAATATTCCTATGTTAAGGCAGGACAGAGCAGCCATCCAGCTTTTGGGAAAACTCAAAACTGAACCAATCCCGGGCAATCTGATCAAAGTTCCTGCTTTCAGTGAAGGCTTGTACCAGCTGAACTCCAGACAACCCTTCCAACCTGAAGTAGTCCTGACTGCAAAAATATCCAATGGTCTGAATACATGAAACACACAAAACCAAAAGAAAAAACTCCATTTGCAAAACACACAGTACATATGCAAATGTATTTAATAACAACCAAAAAAACCTTATTGCTTTATTCAGATTTTGACAAGCTTACCTTAAAATTACTCAAAGTCATGTGAGAATTTCTGTAGAAATCACTGACTGCTTTTCAGCAGACATCAGCTTAAACCAGAGATTGAAATGATGCTGGAATTCAGACTGAATCACTTTTTATGAACTAAACAACATTTTCCTGGTCTAAGAAGTAATCCCCATAAAATGCATTTCCAGGCTCTTGTTTTGGGCTCCTTTTCTGTTGTTTGATTTACACAAAACTTTGAAATACTCTGTGGATGGCTTTATGAAATTAAAACGCCCAAACAGTCCTCTAACAAACTTTTAGAATTACAGACTAGCAATATTCTATCTTCTTTGACTTGAAAGTGCATACACATTCAAAAGTTTTATACATTTCCTAGACATCTTTTTAACAGACAGAAACCCTATCAGACATTTTAGTTTTCAAGGGGAAAAAGAAAGTTGTTAAATTCACAGTTTGAACAAGTGTTCCAAGGAAAGCCTACTACATTTTTTCTTCTGGGAAATCAAACCACGAGGATCTGTTGACAAGTCTCTTTGGCAGTCTCAGTATCAATGGCTCTCTCTCTGGACACTCTAGGAAGGAAGTCCTGGGGGAAGGCAGTTGACTGGAAGGCGCTGCTGGTGCTTCCTGAACATAACTGGTTACAGTTTCTGTGTGAGGGGTGTTACTGCTGGCATTCACTGTGGTAACACTCTGATCAGCTGCTGTTTCTTGAAGTTTGACATCAGCATTTCTATCTCCATCATCTAAGTTTTCCCTTGTGGCAGGAATACAATACTTTTTGTCTACTCCTCCAGCTTCCTCGCATCCTGTCCTCCTCAGAAAAGGAGATGGAGACTCATTTTCCCTCTCATTTATGTGAGTTGTGCCTGTCCACATAATACTGCTGTCCCATTCGGTACCTTCTGGTTCCTTGCTACTATCACTATCAATTGTAATCACCACTGGAGAAGAAGGTACTGAGTTACTCGTGTGATGTTTCCGGTGTTTCTTCTTATGCTTTTTCTTTTTCTTTTTAAGATGCCTCGTTGTGTCTGTTGCTTTTCCTTCATAGACTATCTCCACACTTGGACTCCTCATTTTCTTCTTCCTTTTCTTACGCTTTGTCTCACTGCTTGCACGATTGTCTGACAGGCTATCTTCATTTTTGCAGCAGTCACCAAATTTTGACGAAGTTTTCTTAGACTCATTTTCTCTTTCTAGACTTGTGCTTTCCATGAATGCATTCTCCAGGTGGCGAGTTTTGTACTTCCTTTTTCCACCAGGCTTTTCACTTTTCATTCTGTCAGCTCCTCCAGGAGGAGTCCTTGATCTGTTGCTTGACCGACTCCTTGATCTGCATCTTTCATAACAGTAATAGTGTCTCTCATGGAGTCCCCTCTGGCTATGCAGATCTGTCCTCTCAATAAATGATCGTATCCTGTATTCTGGACTAGCAGATTGCCGCGAATAAGTAGTGTTAGACCGGGTCCTCCTTCTACTGGAGGATTCATAGCTGTCTCCAAATACCTTTCGACTACAGAAAGCAGAACCCCACTGGTGTCTACTTTGATAACTGTCTCTTACATAATAGCGATCACTGTCTCTACTTCTTGATCTCCTTTTACTGTGGCCTTTGCTGCGTGAACGTGATCTGCTCACTTCTCTGGATGGAGTGCTCTCACCACTTAGAGAGCCCCTCTGGCTTTTCAGAGAGGCTCTGGTGTCATGAGCCCTTGATCTTCTGCTGCTTCTTCTGCTCCTGTGTTTGCTACTATCTCTGCTTTTCGATCGTTTCCGTTTAAGTTGGCTTTTGCTATGGTGCTCCCTTCTAGACCGATGGCCATGACTGCCTCGACTGTCCCGTGAACAGGACTGTGGGCTTCTAGACTTTCCCTTTTTAGACAATCTGTGATTCCAAGGGGAGCATACTGTGTCACTCCCTGGAGAGGGGCTCCAACTCAAGTCCTGTGGAGGCAGATCTTTTCTTTTACATTTGTTCTTCTCATCCTCTTTTGATTCCATCTTCTCGACTGCAGGAGATAAGCAGCTTCTACAACTTCCTACATCTTCCCTATATGTTGGGGAATGTGGTGAGAAGCTCCTGCTTGGTTGAAAAATTGCTGTTTTCTGCAAACTCCTTATCTGACGTCATGTTCTAGAAAAGACAGAGACAGAAGATCATTGCTGTCACAGAGAAGTAAAAATCTTACACTCTAGATGCAGAAACCCATAACAATTGCTTTTACAGTTGCAAAACCTAGCAGTGGCTCTGAGAGAATGCTGAACAAAGAGGCAGCATGACCTAACTACTTTGTTTGACTTCTCTTCACAGTGGGATATAGTTCTTCAGTGCTACAAGTTTTACATGGCACTCAAATCATGCTCCACAGATGAAGGTAACAGGCAGGACTGTCTTCTTTCCCACTCTTAAATAACTCCTTTGATGTGGTCAGTAAATTTATGATTTGCACGCCATCTTCCAAAACATAGCTTAAAAAATCTAGCACTTATATATGAAAAGTAAGAGAACAGTTAGTTCTGCATTTTAAAATAAACCAGCCAAAAGAAGTAATTGGACTTGAACTATGTTATCACCTTCTAAGTTCTGCTGGACCTGTTCTGTTCCTGCACAGTCTGCCCCTCTTTGTTGGGCATTCATGCTGGACCACACACAGCTTGTTGGACAAGACAATCTCCAGGGATGTGTTCCTGCCAAAATAAGTATTTGTTTTCAAGACTGAAGCAGAAGCAAGCAGATGTCATGCTGAAGTACACACTGCCTTTTATCTGGTCAGGTTGTTATGCTGTTTGCCTGAGATAGTAAATTTTCTTCACAGTGACTGGTGTGGGCCTGAGCTTTGAATTTGTGTTGAACACAGTGTTGATAATACAAAGATATTTTTGTTATTGCTGAGCAAGGCTTACACAGAACTTTTTGTACTTCTACCCTGGTGAGGAAGTTGGTGGGGCATGCAAGGTTGGGAGGAGACACAGCCGGGACAGGTGACCCATGGAAATGGGTCTGGAAATCCCATGCAACACTCTCAATGTATAACATGGGGGAAAGAAGGAGGAAAGGTGAGACATTAGGAGTGATGATGATTGTCTGCTCAAATCACCACCACACATGATAGGGCTCTGCTCTCCTGGAGACGGCTGAACATCTGTGTGCCCACGGAAAGCAGCGAAATAATACCTTGTTTTGCTTTGGTTGTGTGCAAGGCTTTTGGTATCCTTATTTAACTGTCTTTATCTCAACTGACAAATTTTTCAGCTTTTACCCTTTTGATTACCTCCCTGATCTCAGGGAGTGTGCGAGTGGCTACCTGGTGCTTGGCAGCTGTGCGGTGAAATCATGAGAGATGTGAAACATGGTCAACAAAAAATTAATCCGTTTAAAAGCTGGTTTAAGTTTTGGCATTACCCTAAGGCATTACAATCCAGTGGAAATAAGTTACCACCCTACTCAAAATCCATTAGCCCGTGTTTTGCCGCCTGCCTGGCAGCCGGCCTTTCCCGCCGGCAGGACACCGGGAGATGGGGCAGCAGCAGCGCTGGGGTGCCAGGGGCGCAGCCCGGGCTCAAAGAAGTGCCCGCGCACCTGCAGGTGTGAGAAGGCCCCGGCCCCGGCCGCGCTCCGCCCGCTGCGGCGCCGCCCGCTCCCCCGCGCGCCCCCCGCCACCCTGGCCTCGGCAGCCGCCAGCCCAGCCAGCGCCCCGGAGGGGACCGGCGCTCCGCCCGCCCGCCCCCAGGCCCGCACTCACCGCCGCCGGGCCCTCGCTTCCCGCGCGGGCCAGGGCCAGGGCCGCGGCCGCCTTCAGCCTGTGGCGCGTCCGGCTGCGCCCCGTGCCGGGAGGCTCCCGCCGCTCCTCCCCTGGCGGGCGGCGGCGGCGGGCACCCTCCGCCAGGCGCCGGGACGGGTCCGCCATCGGCGGCGGCGTTGCCACGGGAACAGCTGCCCGCGGGCGCGGAGCTGAGCCGGGATCCGCCGGGATCCGCCGGGACCGACGCCGGGACCGTCGCCGTCACATCCGCGCCCCGCGCGGTGACGCCATTCCGGGGGCGGAGGCCGGGGAGGGGCCGGGCCGGGATGGCGCTGGCGGGCGGTGGGTGCGGCCGGCTCCGCCGCCTGCTGCGTGCCGGCGGGGCGGGCGGTACTGAGCAGCCCCGGGGAGCAGCTTGGGGCGGCGGCGGCCCCTGGGGAGTAGAAGCATGGGGAGGGGCGGCGGTGGCGCCGCCGACTCGGAACGCGCTTTGTCCGCAGGTGGTGGCTGGCGTGGTGGTGCGCAGCTGGTGCTTCGTTCTCTGCGGGCGCGGGTGGCCCCCTGCGGCCGCTGGGGTGCCGCTTCCCGACCCAGGGCTGCCCTAGGCAATGGCAGAGTCGCCCGCGGCGCCAGCGGGAGCTTGGCACTGTCTCCGAGAGTGCAGAGGAATCCATAGAAGGCTGGAGAAGCCGTGTGATTGGTTGGGCAAGTAAAACACAAAGAGCGCGTAGGAGAGAGGAGATAGACAAAGCATAAGCCGTTATGTGGAAACAGAAAAATAACTGTTCTTACTGATTTTTACAAGTACTTACCTGCAGTAGATACAAGTGTGCAAAGGACATGAACAAGGCCAGCTGTGCAAGCTGCCACAGGTGGGGCACAGCCTGCCACAGTACCTGCATGTATTACTACCAGGACTGATGTAAAACACAAACACAGCCAGCCCTGTCCCTTTTCTTACCCACAGTCAGTATGGACTAAAGCTTGCAAAAGCACACGTGAATTCACAGATGCCCAGAGTACAAGCACAGCCAGTTCATGTGATAACCCTGCCCCATATCCTGAGCCATTTCACTCATTCCCATGCACCAGCTGGTCCTGCTTCTTGCTCAAGAGCAAATGCGTGCTGTGGCACTTCCCAACAGGTACTCCAGTCCTAAAGATCTCCCCAGGTAGCAGCACCAGCCTATCCTTCGTGATCTGCCTGGACCCAGAGCCTGCTTCTCGCCAGGTAGCTCAACTTAAAGTTTGCTCAGGAGTTACATCCCTGCTCCCAGTAATTTTCCCTGGTGTTCAGGGCAGATACAACCACTCTTGTGTCCACAGCAGGCAGCATCAGGCATGTAGGCTGTGACCTGCAGTCCTGCTTTGTGTGTGGCTGCCAAGACTCACTCATTTTATTTGCCTCAGTTCCCCAGCAGCTGCACCTGGGCCACACGTACCCATCCTGCCCCAGTGACTGGAGCCACACTGGCACTTGCACCCTTTGCTGTAATCAGGACCATTATCCACTCCCGTTGCTGGCATAATAGGAGGCATTTGTATCTCGAGTAGTTGTACTCTGTCAACTTGGTAAATGCTATGTGCATGTGTGTGTGTCAGCTCGTAGGCAAGGTGGGACCCACTTGGACAGCTCATCTCTGGGTCATGCAAATGTAAAGGTATACTTGAAAGGTATCCCAGGCTCTTCAAAGGGTTTTATAATTTCTGAGCTGAAAAGAAGCAATTCTAGAAGTAAAATGGATCTGGATTGAGGTGCTGGTTTTCTACACAGCTGTGAAGAGCAGAACTCATGTGACTCCTCTGCCACTGACCACACAGATTGGCAGCACATCATCCCACATTCCTCTTGAAGCTGGGGAACAATCTTTTCTTGGTAAGCCTGGCCCTCCTTCTTCTACCATCAGGGCCTCTGGAGTATCTTGGTCAGCAGCAGGAATTTTCCCTGCCAGCAGCTTTGCGGGAATAAGAGTGTGAAGACATGCTTATGTCTTCCTGAGCAGCAGCCACAGCACTGGCAGTGCCCAGTCTGTTGACAGTGGGATCTGCAGTCCCTGACGAGGGACAGCCCCCAGCCCTCTTTCTGGTGTGCCCTGGCACCTCGGACAATGCTCACTCAGGCACAGCAGCAACAGCTCCTGTGGGAAAGGAGGTCAGCAGAAGGTTCAGATTGTTCAATTCCTGAGTTTGTTCATCATCTCCCATCTTAGCTGCATCACTCTGTAAATGCATGAAAATTGTCATAGACCTATAGCAATGCTCTTCCAAAGGTTTCTGTGCTGATGGACTCTGCCTCTCCGCTGGCTTTCTCTGAGCCAAAGGTGACTGGCTGGATCATTCTTCACTATCCACACAAGAGCTGTCCACACACACTGTCCACAGAAGAGCTCAGCTTCAGTGTGCCCTCATCCTCACTGTGGTGTTGAAGCCTTCACCAGCTTTCCCTGACTAGCTGGGAATCTCCAGCAGCATGACACCAAGAGCAGGACTTAGAAATAGTCTCTGACCACTGGCCTGGCCCAGGCTGGGTCCTCTTTAGTTTTATCTTCTCAGCCTTTGCTTTAGGTCCCACCAGTGGTGTGCACCTGCAGCTACACATGGGCAGGTACTGGTCAGTTCAGGGTTGTAGCCTGCTCTGCTGCAAACCTTCCAAGGGTCACTTTGCAGCCAGCTCAAGGGATATCTCTTTCGGCTTTGTTCCTTCTGGGCAGCAGAGTCTTTGTGATCACGTAGAGATGCTTTACTTCAGAGCTGCCACGAGATGGCAAAATACTCCCCGCCATCCCCTCCAAGCTGGCTTCCCTGCACCGCAGGCTGGAGCCGTGCAGGACTATGGGGAAGCAGCAGCAGCAACAGCAGCTGAATTTCTCTCCCTTCATCTTAGCCTGCTGCTCGGTGTGCATGCTGGGGGATGCTTCTCTAAAAATCTCCGGAGGACCAAGACCTGTCCATTTTGTCATGTCCCTGAAGTCCAAGGCAGAGACTATGACTGCTCACAAGAGAGATGAAACACTTGATAATGTCCCTGCCGATGACAAGGACCTTGCACAGTGACAGCAAGCTAAAGCAGAAGGAGACCTTTCTCTTTTAATGGCATGGCCTTAGCTAACTGAGAAACCCGTGTGATGTTTCTGCATATATTAAAAGAACTAAGGGCCTCGCTTAAGAGCTTTTACTTCTCTAGCCTGTTTTGACTATTCTCTGTATCCTCTCTCCTGTACTGCTGTCACAGCTCAATGCTAAAATAAATGTCAAGGATCCTAGAAACATCTCCAGTTCCACATCTGGATGCTGACCTGAAGTCATGTCAGCATGATGGCAGAAGCAAGAAGCCACTTTTACCTCCCCCATAAGACAGAAGTGGGATTAAAGGCCCCATAGAGATTTAGAAAATACCTCCTTGTAGTCTAGTGGGAAGGTGCTGGTTTTTGCTTGGGTAGGGCTAATTTTCTTCACACTATCAGACTCTGAGTTGAATTTGTGCTGAAAACAGGGCTAATAACATAGGGATGTTTTTTTTCCTGCTGAATGAAGGCCTTTGCTGCTCCTCACCCACACCACCAGTGAGGAGGCTGAGGATGTACAAGGAATTGTGAGGGACACAGCTGGGACATCTGACCCCAAATGACCCAAGGGATATCCCTATCCCATATGGTATGGTGCCATACTTAGCATTTAAAACTGGGGGAAGAAGAAGAAAGGGGAGGAAGTCCAGAGGCATGGCATTTGTCTTCCCAAGTCATCCTTACACAGGATGGGGCCCTGATCTCTTGGAGATGGCTGAACACCTGGCTGCCTATGGGAAGCAATGAATGAATTCCTTGATTTGCTTTGCTTCTCTGTCTGACTTTTACTTTCCATATTAAACAGTCTTTGTGTCAACCCATGAGTTTTTTCACTTTTACCATTCCAGTTCTCTTCCTCATCCCACCACAGAGATGTGAGCAAGTAGTTACGGAGTGTTTAGTTGCTGGCTGGGGTTAAACCACAACAGTCCTTCTTTGGACCCAATGTGGGGCTCAAATAACTCAGATTATGATAGACTATATTGGAATGTGCTAGATGAAACTTTTAGCTGTTATGGCTGTTAAATTATTAATCAGCAGTCTCTAGTGCTTGCCCACAGGAGTCACTTGCCTGACGCTGTATTGCAATCCAGTGCTTGTTGGTGGCTGTTTGCTGTAGCTTCTTGTCTCACTCTGCTGTGCTTATCTCACTCTGCTGTGCCTGGGAGCATTTTGATAACAGCCATGATGTGCGTGGGCTGGTAGGTGGCCAGGACATTGCAGCTGTCTGCTGCTGCACTGGACATGTTGGAATTCCAGTATGAACTTGAGCCAAAGAGACTGTGACCTGTGGTTGAGTCCACAGTACAGGGGAAGAGTGTGAGAAGTCCTTTCCCTGAAGAAGAAGGAGAGGCAGGATGTGGGCCAGGTGGTGAAGCAGAGATTCCCCTGCAGTCCATGGTGAAGCCATGTCAGGCAGGTGGTCCCTCTGCATCCCATGGAGGTCCATGGTGGACCCTGTAGCTGGCATAGCAGGAACCCCTGTTTCTAGCCAAATTAGAAGCAGGTGAGGAGTTCATCACACTCTTAAACCCTTCAGTCTGGCACAAAATGGCCAGGGGTGGAAATAGTAATGGACATGCTTTTAAATTGTTGTAACCCATTATTTGAGTTTCGCTTACAGGAATTACTGTACCAATGGAGCTACATGAACCAATGGAGGACAAGTCTTACAATAAACAGTGTAAATGCAGCAGTGACTTCACCTGAGCTGGCTCTAAGCCACAGTACCACAGCACATCACCTCTCCTCTCCTATCCTGTCCTGAGTGACCAGCAGAACAGACAGAGCCCCAGCTTATGGGCTCTGAAATTAATTTAGCTGACATTCTATGGACATATGTTAACATTTGGTGGGCTTTTGCACGGGGTGTCCATAGACTAAGGGAATGATATCTGTGTATTATATCAAAGGATGGAGAGGGAATAGGGGGTGTCAATGAGATTCTATTAAATCATGTAGGACTACAGCATGACATAAATTGTATGAAGTAAGGAGTAGAGAATGTACTGGGTTTGGCTGGGTTAGCTTTCTTCACAACAACAGTCCTTCTTTGGACCCAATGTGGGGCTCAAATAACTCAGATTATGATAGACTATATTGGAATGTGCTAGATGAAACTTTTAGCTGTTATGGCTGTTAAATTATTAATCAGCAGTCTCTAGTGCTTGCCCA